TGGCAAAGATTAGGTACAGATGAGTATTGGTTGTGAAACAGATCCCATCTGCAGGAAATGAGCCACCACGGTGAAGTAAACTACCAAAGTCCCTGATCGATGATTTCCTCCAGCCAATAGAACGAGTATAAAGCATAAAATTGCTATAGCCATTGAGGGAGGAGCTATTTACTGCACATCTAAGTTTAGTTTCTTACACTGAAGTAGTCTGTCATTAGAGGTCAGCACCATTTTATAAGAAAATTATTAAATGTGTCATCTGGGGCTGGTGAGCTGGCTCAGTGGTCTAAAGTACCTACTTAGAACAAGCTTAGCAAAGCACAGGGACCGCGTTTCAATCCCCCAGCACCACATGCCAGTCAGCCCCGCCCCCTGGTGGGCTGAGTTGGCCACACACACACATACACACACACACACACACACATAAATAAATAAATAAAAAATTTTTAAAAAATGTGTCATCAGAAGGGCTAGGCTCTTACCTTATTTGTTCCATCAAGCACTGCTGGGCAGTTTACCTGACTTCCCTGTGTCAGTCTTATGATCCACACAATAGAGATTAAGATGACTGGGCTGAGGGCAGAGAGGCCCTGGGTTCCATCCCTAGGGCTGCCCTTCGGAAACACAAAACAAAGCTCAGCAAAAATCAACACAGTGTGTTGGAGCTGCGCAGCTCAGGTGCATACTGTTCATGCCTGATATTCACCAGTATCTTTTTTCTGGAAGGTGAGCAAGGGCTGCACTTGTGTCTTCTTACTTAAACCTTCAACAAAGTAATATTTTTATTTATTTCTGTAAATATTTTGCATGATTGACAGGTGAATCCTACTGTGTGATGTTCTGGAGGCTGAGGCTGAGAGCCGGCCTGTCATTGGAATGCTTCCGGGATAAGCTGCAGGCTCAGTAATGCACAGAGAGGTTCTTTCCTGGGTCTGTTCACTGACCTGTTCTAAGAGTCCAGCTGGAGTTAGTTCCTATATTAGGGAGTGAAAAAATTAAATGTCTAAAGCAGATAGATGTCACTAATTTTTTATAACAGTATAAACTTATATAAGCATTGTCATAGACTGAGTGCTGGAATCTGCCACTGCAGGTCTACTTTTAATGAGATGGCTCTTTTGAGAAACTAGTGTAAACAAAACATACCAGCAGCAATGCAAATTTCAAAAGTCCTTATGAAAATGTGATTTGCAAAGAATGCAAATTAGGATTATGTAGTTATCAAATGTATGAGAGCGCCTAGGACATGCTTGGCATGGCTTTTGTACCAAGAGCAACAGTAAAGGTATCAACACCTGTCACTGTACGCTGTCCAGGGAGACTGAAGACAGACAAAACATGTTATCAAACAGGCCAATAAGAGCTGCAGCAGGTAAAGGCTGGGACTGCAGCGGCTGGGGTGGTTGGGGGCAGGGGCAGCAAAGGCATC